TCTCTATAAGAGATACTTACAAATTTGGTTAAATTAGAACAAAGTTACGCAATTAGGAGGCTAAAAATATGGTACCAAGAAGTCAAGAATATCTCAATTTATTTTTGAAATACATATTTGGGAAAAACTGAAATTTTTAAAAATATAATTAATTTATTTTTTTTGTCAAACACACCAAACAACAAGTTTAAATTTTAACGTTTCGTTCTTTATTTGGCCTTCCATCTTCAGGTGTCCTAACATAGATTTGTATCTCTTTGTTTTGAGTTTTGGCTCAGTAGAATATTTAGAAGACCTTTTTGTAAGGGTTAAACTTACGTTTAAATGCTAAATTAAAAAAATTGTGAGACAACCAAACTTACGTTAAAATACTAACTTTCGAAAATATGAAATAGTTGTTTTTTTTTTGACCCCATTTCTCTTTTGATGTAAGTAACTACTAAGAAATGGTGTCAAAGAAAAAATAACTATTTCATATTTTTGAAACTTAGTATTTTAATGTAGTTAGGCTTAAACCCTTATAAAAAAGCCTTCTAAACATTTAACTGATCCAAAATAAAGATATTTGGAAGTTAGTAGTGGAAGTAAAAATAACAAATTTGACTGAAATTGGATGAAACTACAAGAAAAGATAACTGTTGAGGTGCTCAACAAGTACCTGCAATCCGGACCCCCCCCCCAAAAAAAAAATGGTGGCGTATTGTAAAATTATATTGTCGAAAACGCGAGCGCGTGTATTTTCTGCCCAAGTCAAGATATCGAAATTCGGCAAGAAAGGATCTAAACATTATCTCGCGTCTGTGTAAATTTCAGATTTTTAAGTTGCAAAATAAAAAAATTTTGCGAACTTTCGCAAAAGCCTATCCTTGTAGCAAATTTCCTTAGGAACAAAATCAATAAGTATACATCATGTCGATTAGAGGTTTATTTTCGGAGATATAAGCGAAAAACTGAAAAAAAGCAATTATTTTATTTTCTTATCCACTAGGCTTATTTTATTCATTATTCAATTCCTCAAAAGTCTTCAAAATTTAGAAATAAAAAGTTGTCATTCTGTGAACAATTGTTTATACAAATTTTGACTTTTTTATGTAGTTATGACAAGTATTTATAGAATAAGCTTTACAAGTCGATTTTCCAGAGCACTATATTTCATTTTTGCAATAAGTATTTCGTTCTAAAAAAGTTTTTTTTCTGTTCTTCATTAGTATTATTTTTGGTTTTCCATTTAAAAATTAAAGTATGTAGCAAAAAAAAATGTATCTGGCAATGGAACCCAGATCCACTATAACTGCTGGCTAATTATATTTGAAATCGCATTATATTCGAAAGAAGCGCACCTGCTAGAGCTGTCAGCTTCGAGTCAGCCGTGCGCGTACTCCCCAAATGCGTTCCCCTCTCTTGCTTAGTAATTGTCCAGAACATGACATAAATTTATTTAATTTTAATAAGCAATAGCATAAAATCGATGTATTTCCCTGGGAACACGATGATGCAATAATTTTTATGCTACTTGCCGTAGTTTACGAGATATTTGCGAAAAACCTTATTTTTTGACCTTTTGACCCCTTGCCTGACCACCTAGGTCAAAATTTTTTGCGGATTCGGATTCCTGAGGGTCGAAAACATATTTGCGCCCAGGTTTGATAGACAGAGGAAAAAATGGAGGTTCAGCCTTCATTTCAATGGACTAAATACATACAATAATATTTTATATATATGTTATGCCTATACATATTATTCTCCAAACGTAATTAGTAGCAAGTTTCTATATATTTTAGTAATTAAGCAGTGTTTTTTAAGTTAATACGACTCGCCAAAGTAAAAAAATAATTCAGGTTAGGTATATATTTTTACTGAAAATAGCAGTTAATTTACATTATCGGATTGTTAATGTGAAAATATAAACATTAGACTGTTGACTATTCCATGTTATACGTGTTTTATGGTCACTTTTGAAGAAGAAACTACATGTAATTTTAAAAATCGTATTTCTGCTTTTATAATGAAGGAATAGTAATTATAAGATTGTTTAAGCTTGTTAACTAAAAATTATTGCCTACTTAATAAAAAATATTATTGTCCTCGATAATCTATTACTGATTAATAAAATATTTACTCTCTTTCCTTATAAGATTGTATGTATACAAATTGGAGCCGTTCCTGAATATCGGTGCAGCGTAAATTATTAGACTTGAAGCGTTGGACGCTAGAGCAGCACCTGCCGGGGTCCCGTTTCGTGACTCGCGCTTGGCAATATTTTTTGTACAAAATCCCGTCCTTAAATCTTTAAATACTTGTTACATCAGAAATTGTTTTAGTTTCATCTGAAAAATAGAGTGGTATATCTCTCGAAACATTAAGAACCAACCATGCATTAGTCAGTCTGGAAATATTCGACCAATTACAAAAATTGTTGAAAAAAATATTG